TTTCCGCAACAAATTCAGACACCGTCACAATTCGGATTGCATCAGACATTTGATAGATCTATGAGAGCCCAATTCCAACCAGAGTCTCGTGAAGCTCAAATTACTCGAGATAACCAAGGCCAAGGGACGCAACTTAACGCTCAGAGCAATGTCGACGGACGTCAAATGCATGCTAGTGGCGAAGCAAACAATAAGGAACAGCAGAAAATGCAATATCAAAGCACAGATATGGTGGGAAACCCAAAGGACAATTAAAGTTTTGACATTTAAGTTTGTCTCCGTCACACCTCTTAGCCAATTATCAGCGATCATTAAGCGTCCATCCTAGATATGTCAACACATACCAAACTTCTTTCACAAGAAATATCAATTCATATCTACCTCTTTCGATACTTTCACCCAACAAATCACGACATATTTCAGGTCCTATGATTCATATGAACGGCCTCTTTTTAGAGTTTATGCCCTTAACGAAGTCATACCTTTCGTTCTATGACATCTGCAGATGCCTTACGATCAAATGTAATGCTACTTATCCCAACGATTTTCCTTCTTTCTTTTTGATTCCTTTTCTTTATGCTACGATACCATGTTGTAATGACACTTGGAGCGGCAGCGCTGAAATTGTTCTCCTCATCGTTTTTCTGTTATTTGATAATACTTGCTACCGCGCGGTGATACATCAAGCCTATTCTTTATCTCTTTGCATCATAAGTTGGCGTTGAACTGTATGCTTGTGCATTGGAAATACATATTGGAGGGAAATGAGAAGATAAGCTCTAAGGATCTCTGAAATCTGAAGAATGGCGGAAAGTGTTGGCTAGGAGCAAACGAACATGCCACGGGGCCGAGGAATCACCAAGCTACAGTGCGAATAATGAAGAACGAACGGCCGTTATGTGTAAGATAGTTAACGAATGAATGTACTATATTTCCAATGTTTCGATGCTATTTGGGGCTTATTACTGTGTGTATATCATAGAGTATACCAATGCTTTGTACTAGTGATATCGATATTCGTATGGCGTGTCTAATTCGGTACACTGTGATAATACCTACCTATCTTTCATAGCTGATTCCATCACTGTATTCTCACAAAACCGGCCATGCTCGCCCTCATATTGACTCCTGTATATACAGAAAGATTCTCATATCATCCCTCCTCTTTTCCCCATCATCTCTCACTACCATTTAAGCATGTTGATCATTGATACTCGTCAAAAACGAACATGATAAATAGATATATTTGAGTATAAATCTCTTTCTGAACTCATCCGCTAGGTAACCCTAACTCACCATTTGCTTGCCATCCTTTGATTTCATTTACTATTCGCATCACACCATATACACGAAATCCATTTTCACATCTTCACATCTTCACATAGACCAAACAAATTGAGCGAGGGCGAAATTTCGTCCCTCGTCATATCTCTGTATTCATTCTCATACTATTCTATCTAGATCATATGCATCTGCAAAAACCTGCGTGCTCATTTCATCTCATCTTCACCGCGCGATTAACGCAGTTGGTGATCCAACCTGAAAACTCCAAGCACATTTTACCCAGGCTAAGTTACATATCAATCCGTATCCAATGCAAAACCGAATTCCAAAAAAAAAAAAAATCAAAAACAATGTCGTAAGAAAGCAAAGTTCCTTTGATCGCTTAATGTGCTCAATTCCAAAGGGGAAGAAGTGAGACGGCGAGACCTAACGGAAAACTAGGATTTGAAAATTTTCTCAAGACCTTCCAACAAGATGTCGGCGTGGTGTTCTTGGAAAATTAACATGGGTCTGAGACGAACGGCTCGCTCGCCAGAGCCTCCAATGTTGATACCAACACTCTTAGCCTTCTTGAGGACCTCATCTCTGCGGTTACTGTCAAAGGCAAGGAAAGTTCCTTGTCCTTTGCCTCTCAAGTTTTGGATCTCTCCTGGATATTGCTTTGCAAGACGTTCGAGCTCTCCGTAGAGATACTCTCCAACCTTGGCGGTGTTGTTGACCAAATCCAAACGTTCGATTTCCTCAATGATGGCACGGAAGAGGATAGCACGAGCTGGATCTCCCATCCAGGTGTTGAACTGACGGTATGGCTTGTTGGGACGGAGCTCTGGGTTTCCGAAATAGTAACCGGCGGTTTGGGCCTTCTTGGAGAAGGTGACCATGTCGGGAGGGGTGTCGAGGTTCCAATGTTCGTGGGCCCAGAATTTACCGGTGGCGCCGACACCAGTTTGGACTTCGTCGACGATGAGGAGGACGTTGTGTTTCTTGGTAAGGGCTCTGAGACCGCGGAAGAAGGTGGGCGAGGCGTGGTTGTCTCCTCCTTCGGATTGAATGGGTTCGACTACGACAGCACAAGGTGGGAGGTGGTGAGTGGTGATGATACGTTCAACATCAGCAAGAGCTTCTTCCTCGATCTTCTGGTTCTCCACGACGTGATCCTCGAGTGGGTATTTGAGAAGAGGGAAAGTAGCTTGTGGCCAATCGAAAGCAGGAATGTCGAGCTTGTGGATTGGCTTACTGCGAGTGGTAGAAAGGGAACCGAAAAGACGTCCATGGAAGGCAGTCTTGAAAGACAAGATAGACAATTGAGGAGCACCTGGTGCTTGATTAAGCATAGATGAAGCAATATCTTCCTGTGAAAATTCCACATGTGCACCACCACGCTCTTGTTGTCGACGATACATAAATGCAGCCTTGTATGCAGTCTCATTGGCATCTGAACCCGCCATAGCAGTAAACACCTGGTCGAGACCCTTTGGTGCTACCTTTAAGATACCCGTCTTGATAATATCGGCCCAATCGTGCGAAGGGAAATTGCCAAGGGCAGGACGGTTGATGATGGCAGATGCCATTTGTTCGGATTGTGCGGCTTTGAGGAGATGAGGATTGCTGTAACCAACTGGAATGGATGCAATTTGAGCATAACTATTGTTCTGGCATCAGTATATTGTGGGAAATTATTAAAAGAGGACATGATAACGTACACATCCAACAAGACATTTCCATCTGGATCCGAGATGTAGTTACCCAAACTCTTTTGATAATTGGCAAGCATGTTCAGACTTCTAGTATCAAACACTTTGTCCAATTCTGCAATTGCCTTTTGGGATTCTGGACCTGGAATGGCAGTTTTGACATGTGGTCTCTCTGGTTCGCCAGTGAAGAATGGTTTGACGCTCGTAGTGGCGTATGTTCGTAAAGCTCGTGGAAGGGCCCTTGAAGCCATTGGAGGCAATCGGGCGGCAGCTCTTAGAGAAGCCATTGTTTGTGCGATGGTGAGAAAGAGGGGAGATTGGCGAGAGAGAAGAAAAACAAGGAATAGAAAGAAGAAAGGGAGAGGAGGAGAATAGAAAATAAATGACAGCCAGAGAAGGAGATTTATATCTTTTGTAGTACGAGTATTTCTTACCTAGCTCGCTCCTCTCCTCTCCTCTCCTCGCCGCTGCAGGTGAGTGGGGTCAGGAATGAATTTCGGTTTGTTTTATAACCTTGCTAACCTTGCTGGACTTATCTTATCCGACTTATCGTGGATTGTGAGTGATTCGTGACGTGAAACTGTAACTAAAACCGGGGATTGTAAGGATTGGAAAGAGGGGCTCGAGAGAGGAAGCCCAGGAGGGAGATCCCCAGTGGTGGCTAATATGTGTGTATCGATTGAAATTACATAAGAGAAGAGTAAGTGAATTGATGGAAGAGCAATGATTGGCTTGATAATCATTCACATTCGAGGTTTGACTAACTCCAATGAGTACAGAGTATGCGATGCGATACTTTCTGAAGGCGACAGACAACAAAAAGAGCTACTACGACGACGACGACAATATATGTAGCTTCGGATTTAATACTCAGCACTCAGTAATTATTAGCACTTAATGCACCATTCTACTTTTCACCTAGGATTTTACATATGACCTACTTACCTTACCGTCCTTGTCAATGAGGGCCAAAATCCAATATCCAATATCAATCAATCAATAATTTTTCCTAATAGAGCTCGGCGAGTCAGCCAATATATCAGCCCTGGTATCAACCCATTTAAGCTTTTTAAGGGTCAAAGACCACTTTGATTGGGGAATCCGTAAGATAACATCAACATCAACATCAACATCAACATCCATCTATTACTAAATTCAATTGGGAAAGTCCATCCCAATCATTGTTAGCCAATCGATACGAGTATACTTGACCAGATTAGCTATCCTCTTCATTCCACCAGTTTTCACCATTGTTCTTCTCTCTTTGCCTCTCTTCGATCTCTCCCATAATTATGCGCGACGGTGAGCTTCAAAATCGCATTTCCTTGCCTCTGTCTTGTCTATTGTCTGTTATATCATTCTCTGCTCTCTTTTCTTATCTTGTGAGTTATCAATCTGGCGGTTAGAATCGGCTTTTCGCGGGAGATCATTTTGGTTTCTTTGCTTGAGGCTATTGAATGCCTTGCGCCAGAACATATCACAAAGTCAGAATGATAATGAATGGCCATGGTGATGGCCATGACAAAGATAGAGGAGAAATAATGTGACTGGTATTGATCACTTTGAAGATAAGGAAAGTCAAAAGAGAATCAATTGGTGATGTTCTGAAGTTCAAATATATTTGGGAGATGTAATGTCGAAGTTGAGTGACTTTGATTGTCAGAGGATGTTCCTCTATGGCATTTTTCGAAGCTAGACGAGCACATGAGAAGAATTTATTCTCGCTGGAAATTTCATTCAAACTGGAGATTACGGAGTTTGGATGTACAGTATATATATATATGACCGTTGAATGGTAACGTGGAGCAAATCGCTTCCGGCAAGTAAAGGGGATTTTTTAGCATTGTAAAACCTTTGTTTTCATTATTTTTCATTAAAAATCTTAGAGTCTGAAACATAGTGAGATACATGATAGGATTTTCTTCGTCCCTCATAGTTTTACGGGTTAATATATATCTCAAGTGGCGTTTGATGAGGGGTTCTTTTCGACAAACGGGGACAGTTGGTGAATTTTGGAGAGCATCATAGTACCCCGGCATCTCTTTGTCTTCGATCTACGCCTCGCGCAGATAACATCAATAGTTTATTCCCTGACATCTCCGCCTCCCTCCGACTCTCGCCCCCAAGCTCACTGATAACAACTGGCTCTACTGGCGATACCATCTCGGCCACCGGTGGTGCACAAGCCGGTCGTTCGCTGATATCATCAACTACTCCATTGACCTGGCACTCTGGCTTGTTACCCATACGTCTTGCTTCGAAAGCATATGATGGAGATTTCTCGCTGCCTCTAGCTGTTGAAATCCAGCTTGCATACGGGTTTGAGTCTGGGTTTGGAGAGGCGTAGGATGCTACTTGGATTTCTGGATTTGAGTTTAATGATGGCTGTCGTATATTGGTGGTTGAAGAAGATGAGCGCCGTCGCCAGAGAAGAAAGATTGTGAGTAGTGATACAACGAGTAGTGTCGCGCCTACTGCTATTCCAATGGCAACGCCTGTAGGAAGGGTATGATGGGTGGTTGCTACCACGGAGGATGATGTGGCAATAGCCAATGTGGCGCTGGTTGATGTTGATGTTGATGTTGACTTTGATGCTGATGCTGATGCTGATGCTGATGCTGATGCTGATGATGTTGTGCTTGTCGAGGTAGATGGCGCTGTACTTGTTTGTGGGGCCAGTGAGCTTATAGAAGATACGACAGTTACGTACTGCGTGGTCGTAGGCGATCCGGGGTTTGAGAATGAACCCCCCCAATAGTATGTATCAGTCAGGATTATGATGTCGCCAGGCGTCGTTACTTCGTTACAATATATCACCTGAAGTGCATCATATGCATCAAAAATATATGTGTTACAGTATGGCCAGGCGGCGTCAGTACTGGATCAACCCGTGTTAAAAGATTGCTCAATATTTACATAGGTAGTGTTGGAACTCACCAATAAGATGCACCAATTGATTCTAAGTAGGTCTGGTTCTCTGTATATGGATAGCAGGTAGTTGCCACATTGCAAGATTCTCCCCTTCAATGGTTTTAGCTTCTGACTTTCGTTCGAATGAGAGAGAGATAACCCACGGATAGCAGCACGTCGCGTAATTGCTAGTGGGACCAACACAAATAGCAGGCGAATTGCAAATATCGTTATTGCATGTTTGAGAATCGCGCTTTAAGGCTCGATTGAGATCATGTAGAGTAGCTTGCGCTGTAATCATGGGATAAATCTCATCCGTAGGCATAGGCATTTTCATCGGACTAGCAAGCAAGCCAAACAATAGTGTCGATAAAACAGCATTTCTCAGAAAGACAGCCATATTCAATTGCCCGTCACCTTGAACTCAATGAGAAAGTGCCAAGTGAGAATGATGTGGGATATCATGAAAGAAATGCGGACTCAAAGGCATAATAACAAAATACAAGGCTGAGTAGAACGTTCATTGTATCACAATAAAACGAGAACGACGAGGCGAATTTTCCTGCACTTGCCCGCTGACCCGTCTATCTTCCAAAATCGACTGGCTAAGATGACATAAAATGAAGTAGCTGTCTTCATGCAAAGGGAACCAGCTTTTCGAGCCGCAACTTTTGGCAAGGAGGGCTTAATGAAAATGCGTCGTCGTTATAATTCTTTGGTTAGCATATGGAAGTACACTGGCGCTCTTCGGGAACAGTCTGCAAAAGCCCGCAGATAATAGACGTGAAGAAGTGGTCCACCATGCTCCTAAATGTACACACTCAACTAACAGCCTGGTTTGGCGAATCATTTTGTGAGCGTGGTCCGGATATCGGTGTAAAGGAGATGACTTTGAAAGATACGGTGAATCGATCTCGAGTTGTCTCTCCGCAATCATTTTGGGGGGAGAGGGTAAAATGATGGGTATCATACATGTCAGGAACAGGATCTCGAAACTAGGTCACTTCTAACTACTTTAATATCCCGAAGAAGTTTAGTATTGTTGTGTGGCTCCAGGCCACTGGTTACTCGAGATTTGAGATTGATAATCCCTGATCAATGAATAATAAACAGATCACATAATGAATCTAACCTTGCTTCGTACTTGCCGTACCGCATACTGTCCAGAGATACGCATGCATATGATATCCCATGCTCCAGGTGGTATCAACTTTCTACCACGTCTCATTTTTAACATCGAGCCCTGACCCCAAAGTTGGAAGGGAGATGCGAGTTATAATGTCAACATTTGGAGGGTTCTAATTTATCAATATAATTGTCCGGAAGAAGTTGAATAAAAATAAGATGACCGAACTGCTTGTATCTACCAGAGATTTATCTTCGTTGTTGATGTTGATGTTTAGGACGACAAATGCGAACAAGTTCTCACAGCGTGGTTTCATACCAAGTTACAAATAATTTGGTAATGTATACTGAATATATTGCAAATATAAGTACAGATCGAGATAGGAGAAGATGTATGAAATAACCAGATTCAGTGAAATCAAAAACCAGCCTCAGCAATTGTCCCTTGTGAGTACGGATAGCAGTCAGACGGAGGTCTAGGTCATCCTCGATGCGGCCTATTCCGGTTATACTCCTCTTGCTCTTGCGCCTCTTGCTCAAGGAAAGCTTCAGCATCCTCACCTCTGATGTGCACGAAACTACCCCTTCCGTCAATGAAATCCCTTCCAAAGTAAGCAGCGTGCTGAGGATTAGCTCTCCAGTACTCATTCCTAATCTCTGGCATATTGTACGGCGCTTTTCCCAGCCCCCTAAAGACGCTCCACCTCCACAAATGTACTTCATTATACCGAACACCCGTATCCAATTTTACATTCAATCTTTGAATTGTTGCCATGTCACACAGCTCATCAACGACAAATTTGGTGCGAACCCATACTTTCGGTACAAATCCCGCAATCCCCCAGCTTACAAGCCCAATGGTCGGAACTCTCAGGTCCGCAATTCCTGCATTGGGATAGTCTATGAGAATGATATGATGAGGCCACAAACAGTTGTGCGCGAAACAGAACTCCGAAAGTCCGGATTCCAATCCTTTCGCTACCCAGCTGGCTTGTATGCCGGCCGGGTCGTAAGGACTTTTACCCACCTCGAATTGCGTCGGCAGATACTGATCGAATAGGCCTTTCCCTTCGATACTCCCAATTTTGTCTCCCTTTATCTTGGACAACTCGAAACAAAAATCTTTCACGGCGGTTATGACATTCTCTCTTTGTTGTGCCGAAAGCAGAGGCCATGCTTGCTCAAAATTCAAGCCATATATCTGACTTTCAAATGTAATGTGACGCTTCATCTGCACCTCATAGCGTATAACTTTTGGGATCTGAAATCTTGAAGGTGGGAGTTTTCCCTGAAGCCAGTTCAACGTTTTGGATTGGTGTGTGATGTCATGTTGTAAAATAATGAAAGCCATTTTCAAAACGCCGCCGTACCCAATACTCCATGCCGTCGAATCGTTCATCCAGGTACGCGCATCCAGAAGTGCTACCAGCGGAGTGTCACCCCCGGTTCGGAAACGTCTCGTTGAGCGTTTGTGGTAAGTAGCCTTGGGTGGAGGCATAGGAGCATCGGTAATATGATAGCTGGAATCGTCTTTTTCATCGTACCAATCTGCAGACGGAGATTGACCTTGGCTCCGGCGCAAGATGAGATTGCAGATTAGCCAGGAGTCCGGATCGTCGTCTATTTCTCTTATGCCCTCACTCATAGGCCAGCTACCATTTTGAATGCGCCATTTCGCTTCGTTTTCTTCATAGCTGTACATGCCATTGAGTTTGTGACAATCCCACCAATATCGCTTGATTTTGTCGAGCGGAGGATACCATTGGCTTTCTAACCAGGGGCTTTCCTCTTCCAAGGAGTCTATTGTTGTCATGTTTGATTGATAAAAATGGTAGATGATAAATCAAAGATGTATATACTTATGCTGGTACGTCTGTGAAAGCTTCAAGTGGGTGATAGTAGGATAGAAGAAATTATGAAAATTGCAAAGGTTTATATAAACATTCCCTGCAAGAATTCAAAGTAAGAAGGCTAATACAAATGCAGAACCAACATTCTATCAAAGCAAACACTCTACCGATGAAATGAAAGGGATTCGTGGGATAAAGACAACAAGGCGGGTAATGTCATTCGGAATCGCTTATAGGACTTGATGAATTTGACTAAATCTACAAAGAAACCTATTCAAACAAGGGCTACTCGACTCCCATTTAATAGCTACACGAATGGCGATTTTGACAACAGTCTATCACGAGAAAAGGAAAAATTTCAATTAAGAGTACAAAAAAATACAGCACGCCATTCATGAGGTATATCATCTAGCTCGAGGACGTTAAGAGTGGTAGGTCGTACAACTCAAAGCCGACAACGAATTTACAACGGGTTCCAAGGAAAATAACTTATCTTAATAAAAGATGGATTCCTCCATAACAAATACCATAACAAAAACCATAACTGATGGAGATTGTGGATCGAGATTGAAACTGAATTCGAGATCACATTGATTAACGTTCGATTGAATCACTTGTATAACATGTTGATCTAGTGATTTCCTTCATAGATGATAAATGCAATTTTGGATGGAGACAGCCAGACAAAGGCAATATTGAGCAACCCGATGACTGTCGATTTGGCCGAGATTACCTAGTTCTTTCATCACCTACGATCGACTAGACGTGACTGCCCTTTGATCGCGAAATCTAATCAGCAGGTAACTTGGGATCTCCTTTCCCGGAAGAATCCACTTGTACTTCGATAGAAACGTGGATATTTGGCATGGTGTGCCGCCATGGGACTATACAAAAAAGGAAGAAAAAATTGATTCTGCTTAGCCCAGATAGGTACACAAGGGAACTTTCAGACGCGGAAGTTGAATGTGAATTTGATAATTATTAAATTTCCAATAAGGTACATCCAACAACACAAAATATTGTAGCGAAAGGGAAACAAAGTAATTCGTGCAATTCATCAATTCCCAGGAACTCGTGAATTTCGCACTACATTTACAAATTCGTACACCACACCTTATGAAAACAATCTCTAAATTAACCCTACCGATTATCCTATCCATTGACCCCCCCAAAAAACATATACAAGCTCCCATGTAGACTGAATCTTCCACCCTCCCCCCCCATTCAAATCGTGTGCTACTAGCGACTTGCTTCCACAGAGTGATTTGATAACTGTAATTTTCGTTAGTATTCACCCCCCCCAAAAGATGTTTATATGCCACTATGTACCAAGCTGCAAGGACCTAGTGGCCCAGCCATCTATCGCATCTAATGCAATTGCCGCCAAGGCTTCTCCACCCCCTCTCAGAGCGCGAGTTGCTCCCACCAAGTAAGTAGAGTCCTAAGCCTCTCGTTAGTATTCAGATCTTCGTCACAGGATGTTTGTATGCTATATACTGAACTGTATAGCTAAAGCGACGTAGCAACTTATTGCACACGATGCCATCGTCATCGCGCAGCTGGCATCGCCGGGTATCGCTAGCGGAGTTGTTTGTTCCACACGTAGGACAGACGGAATTTAAGACTAGAACTTGAAACATATACACAGGGTATTGTAGGAATATGGTAGATAATATTTGAGATGAGATGTCTTTGTATGTAGCGTGTATGAGCAAGGTTGGGATGGGTTCAGCATGAAAGACACCTCCTAAAGTCTGGCGAAGCGTCTATATTACGCAATGGCAAAGATTATCGAAATGTACTTGATATGGATTTCCAAATGCTTTAGAAGATTGGGTCGGCAATGGAATTTACTGCATGGCATCATCTCAATTTAATGTAGCATTTTCTTTATGTCGTAATCTGAGGTTTCAATGAGCGAAATATGAACCATGATTATGGTCAAAAGACCACCTGAAGTGACTCCGGATTTCCTCAATCCAACATGCTCTGGATTTCGAACATGGATTCTCGCTTCGGCTTCATCGCTTCAACTTGAAAGGAATTTGATCGGATTTCGATCGAAACAGAATCCGTCATCTCATTGAGGAATATACACAGAACCGTGCGTCATATTTCAATCATTAGGGTTAAAACAATGTTTAACACTCGATGTAAAGGTTCGGTGAAACCATCTTTCATAGGGTTCAAGAGGCTTGGGAGTGACGAACTGGAAATGCCTTCTTCACAATGCAGCAATTATTGTGACGCTTATTTGATCCTATAGCATATGAAAGATCTCATCGAAAGCCACTAACTTGCATAATGAAATACTTGATTCCTCAAAAGTGAACAAAATTTGGTTATAAGTATGTTCTTTGACCACCGCACAATTGAAACTCCTTTTAGTGGCCAGTCAACACAATAATATTTGAGGCAGTGATATTGAGAAATGCTTTATCAACATATCAAAAACGCATTCATGAGATCACGACAACAATGATTGATGACCTGTAGTCATTGACCCCCAAAATACTTTTCGGATATGATATCTACGCCACCTCAAGTAGGACAATACGAAACGCGCCCTGATTTACAGATAGTTTCAAGAACAAATCTTCGAAAGGATCGAAACAAAGTTACTTTCGATGTGTAATTATCGTTCGACGCAAAATTAACTTGTGGCGCAGACACATCTGAGACTGATGTCTCAAGTGGATATGAGTACATGAGATATGGAAGCTCTTGTAAGGACCCATGACATTGCTGCTGTATGTGCAAGATGCTAAAGACTCAAATAACAACAATGAATTATGGGAAGATGCAGTGGCCAGAGCTCGACAAGAGATCACATCAATCGGAAGTCATGTTATTTCATCCAGCGCAAATAGCCAGGGAGCCGTTCAATCTCTGAAACCAAGCCCGGTCCAGCTGTATGACAAGAAGAATAATCTGAGCCAACACGAAAGATACCTCACCCAGATTTTTCAGAGAAAATAGAGTACTGACTCCGAGTATGCAGAAAGAGAAAAACATATATATTTCCACACCGTGATGACTAACCACGTGCACGCTGCAAGCGCACAAAGCACGGCGTCGAGAAACCCGAGGAAGTTTTCAAAGGTCACCAAGAATGCGAGGATCAGATATCCATCATACTGAGGAGCAGTCCTTTGTATAACTACTGAAAGGATCGAGGCGTCACTGCGCGTATTTTAGAGTGAGTCTGGGAGAAAGTTATCGTGTCGAGGTTTTTGCGCATGGGGGTTGTATGCCAAGGGACATTGTGGTTTTCACATGTCTTTCCAGAACCACGTGATCATATGGTTTTGAAAGGAAGGGGTAGCCACAAGAGTTATTCTCCTTGTATCCACACCAAAGTGTCTGAAAGTGAGGGCTCAATCCAATATATTCATCGCACAGTAGATAGCAGATAGATGAAATATATGATCACATGGACATACTTTAAGGTACCTAGATCACTATCCGCAGGAGAAGGAAGAGGCGGTGTCAATGACATCTTTGTAGACTCGATTGGTGTTCTTACCTAATTCTGAAATGACTTTTTGATAACGTAATTTATCAGCATATGGGCCATATCAGCATGTGGGCCACTTGAAAACACACCAAAATCAACCCTTTTTCAATATTCTTATTTTAATAATTGATCATTATTTTGAAAAAAAAAGAACAAAAGATAATAATAGAAAATAAGCTTTTTATAAATCTAGTATTTATATAAAAATTCCTATTATTTTATAAAGAAAGTGGAAATTGTCACGATTTTCGTTACAAAAATATTATTTCTATAATAATTATTATAATAATTCCATTTTCCAATAAATGTTTCAAATTTCATAATATTTGTATAATTAAATTTTCAAATTTTCAAACCTTATAAAATTATATTATTAAATAAAGAAAGTGCACGGTTACACACAGACGAATTTTGTATACAAAAAGGGGTGGCTCATATGATGATATGGCCCACATGCTGATAAACTACGTTATCTATATCATTCAAAAAATAAAAGGCCAAAAATTGCTTTATTTCCGTGTGATTTCTATAATTCATTAGTGATTGATTTTTATTCAATTAATTCAAAAGATCTCAATGAAGATTTGAGTGGTCAAATCCGATCTGTTTTTCTTCTACGAATAGACTCCTCTAGGCGAATCGATTGTTAAAACTTCAGCTCTCAGCCCTCAGCCCTCAACTTAGCACGTCAAAATCTCCCCAATAGAAGAACGAAAGGAGAAGAAGAAGAAGAAGAAGAAGAAGAAGAAGAAGAAGAAGCAGAAGCAGCAGTAAGAGTCATGCGATATTTCACGCCCTTCGCATTACCATGCAGACCCATTCTATCCAAGAGAAAGTAAAAATAGTAATCACTGAAAGGTAGTCTCGCAAACGGGTTATCGGAAGAGATTCTAGAAACGGAGAGAACGAAGAAACGACAACGATAGCGATGGAAAAAAAAAGGAAATCCTTAACGCAAACATTCCGTACGTACGGAGTGCATGAAGGGAAAGGATCTAACCGCCTTCAAAAAGGAAGAAAAGGGAAAAGGGGCGGGCCGTTGTGACGACTCATGAGCGAGAGCATAAGCAGGAATAGTAGCAATATTCATGGGTATATTCGCAATAGAAGTATAATAATGCTGTAAATTGAAAAATCGTTTCGTTTCACGAATGTTTATTGTACCCCAAGTTCATTCCCTTTTTGTCCGAACTTTGAAGTAGTAAGGGACTTAACTCCTTGGTCTTTTAGTTTCTTACCTAGTCGTCGTTGTTTCAAATTCGAGGATGAAGTCTGTGCCCGCCTTCAACCACGAAGATTTTCCGACCTCCAATTAAAAATCCTTATACACCGGTACTGATGTTCAGCGTGTCATTTCCATTCATTAGTGTTACCCGAGCGAATGTTTAGGGCTCGGGGATTTTCACTCCTATCTACCTACCTAGGTAGGTACCGATTCGCGATCGA